GGAGGGGGGGAGGGGCTCTTTTAGTTTAAACACAAAATTATACATAGGGCCATACTGCCCTCTTGTGTCCAAAATTATATTTATATATACATTATACATATATTTGGTATGTGACTGAGGACCGAGAGCTTTTAAATACGGGACATTGATAATGGCCACGTGCAGAGCGCTCGAGGGAATTCCTATGGAAGTAGGAATGAACTAAAAAACGTTCGCTCTGTTCTGCTCGCTCGTCGCCATGGACGCGCACCATTATGAATGCCAGTGCAGCCGCATACTTTTTAGTGTCACTTTAAAATTAGTGCAATAACGGGGCCGATTGCTTGAATTGTGAGTTCAATAGTCTATTATTTTTCACGGAAAACACAACAACAAAAGAGTACAATGATAGATTCGCTTAAATAGGGGCTTTTACATAAAATAGCCTATTCCGTCATCATCTTTTCAGTCAGCTCTTCACTCTCGTGATTAATGAAATTTGACTCCTGTTGCTGATATTTGCTGCAACTTTCGTTCCGCTCACAATTTAGTAAGCAAACACGCTTCAAATGTGTTTTTATTTTATTTTTGTGTATATATATGTGTGTGTATATATATGTGTGTATATATATATATATATATATATATATATATAGCTTATGTTTCAAATATGAGTTAATTAACAATCGTTGGAAAGAATGATACTTTTAATATCACTAAACCGTCATTAGGTGTCGCCAGGCGACCGTCTTAATGAGCGAGTCATTGATTCATTCGTTCAAACGATTCGTTCGAACGGCTGAGTCATTCATGAATGAGACAGATTATGGATTGGTCGTTGAATCTTTGAGTCAACCGATTCGTTCAAAATGCTGAATCATTCAGTAATGAGAACGCGTTGCTGTGAGATGCTCGATGGTTCTGCTGTGATCTTTGTTTAACTATTTTCGCTGCTGAAACAGAAAAAAAAGTCAATATTGCATCTAAAATGTAAGTGATTTGACGTGTGTGTGTGTGTGTGTGTGTGTGTGTGTGTGTGTGTGTGATTGTGTCTGTTACAGTGATTGTTTAACCCTTGTTAAAGTTTAGGCCTTGTCTTTTTGGATATATATCTTTTTATATAAAAAAAAATAGCATACAACCCATGTATTTTAAATGTATTGTTTGCTTTAAATTACATTGAGATTTGTATGTTTGGTAATTGAACCTGAATGAATTATAAATGAATGTGCTATATTTCAGATCATATATTTGTTTTCCTTAAAATTTGAACTAACACTAACTTTATTCTCATCTGAATGATAGATTATTTATTTCTGTATAAAATAAAAACACATTTGATTTTTCTTTTTTAATCAATGTAGAATGTGTAACTGAAAAAATAAACAGATTAGGGCTCTGATCGAGGACAATAAATGAAAACCAATGCAATATGATGAATGTCCAAAAGATTTTTTTTGCTTTTAAACTATGTGTGTGTGTGTGTGTGTGTGTGTGTGTGTGTGTGTGTGTGTGTGTGTGTGTGTGTGTGTGTGTGTGTAAGAGATTTCGGTTGGGTGACAGTTGTAGTTTACAGTTTGACAAAAGCACAATGTTGTGTTTTATTGTGATTGTACACAAATATAAGTAAACACTTTGCAGTTTGAATAATGTCCTGTATGAACAAAAGGACGGGGTATGTTTTTATGTCTACATTGTTCAATCACGCCTCACACACACACACACACACCAACTATTTTTCTAATCAGATCAGGCAAGTAATATTCTGTCTTGGCACACTTCATATAACTTTCAAACTTGTGTACTTATTTCATGTGTCCATTAAGTCCATGAGACCGTAGAGTGTCTCATTTTTCATTTTAGGTTTCAGAAGGTTGCTCACGCATACTTTGTGGTTGATATGTGCCCTCAATGCACACTTTTGCAGAGCCCACACCAATGCAAGCTCTACAGCACACATCTTCTCAAAGGTCAAAGCGGAGTTACGATATTGCCCGTCATGCACAGTAACCCTAAAGGCACCAGGGTGGCGGTGCCACCGGCTTGTTTATATATATATATATATATATATATATATAAATATAGCTGCGAGCAGCGATGAAGGGCCAAAGCCGGCGGCACCGCCACTCCGGTGCCTTTAGGTAACTAAAGGCACCGGGGTTGCGGTGCCACCGGCTTGGGCCCGTAATCGCTGCTCGCAGCTATATTTTCAAATTGGAATTTCTCTGAAATGAAAAATCTTTGGGAACTTTTGGGATATTGTAAGTACACAACTGCAGGAAATATATCACACTGTGCAATCGATTTTTGGATATTTTATTACAAAAATCTTACATATTGTAGCTTTAAATTACATTAAAGTCCCACTCCGATCATATTTTGAGCTATTTTTAAACATTCCCAGTGGTCTTTAAATTATGATTATGCCATTTTTAGCCAAAATCACAAAACCTGTGCCGTTTTCTGGGACTTCGCTTCAGCAGAGCGGCAGTAGCTCATTAGCAATTCGCCTCTGCGTTGTGGGCGGAGCCGTTGGAGAGAGCTTTGTCTCTCCCGCTAGCTTACACCCCCAATACCGGTGGGGCAACAGTATTATATACACGTTAATTATTATTATCCGAAGTTAATCAAAGTTATCACCGATCACCGATCATTATTTCACTCCAAGACGTCGCGTGTGGAGACGCCCAGTGGAGTTACTACGTCACAACTCCAGTCCATTTTAGCCGGCATTTTAGCGTCTGCTACTGATTCACAGCCATTTGAATGTAGAAATACTCAGAAATACAACTTTGAGCTTATTTTTCTCAAGATATGTCCTGTCCTCTAACATCAGAAAAATGCCACAAGAACATGTTAACACCTAGAAAAACATTATTTTCATCAGAGTGGGTCTTTAAACTGACTTGAAAAAAATGAGTTAAATCTTGTATAACTTATAAAAAGTTGATAATTGCTTACCTTATTTTGAGTTAAAGCAATGTAAAAACATATGTTCAACTTAATTTTTTACAGTATGGTAGATTTGAATAATTCTCATCTATACCGTTTTATGGTGTTAATACAGACATTTCCACTTTATATCCTGCATATTTTATCAACTCATGTTAAGAAACATGTTTCCAGTATAGGCTAAATTCATTAGATTAGCATTCATCTACTTTGTAGGTTACCAAACAAAATTAAACTGCTTAAAGGCTTTTAAATCTAGGCTTAGGCTATATTCATTTTAAGTTGGTAAGGAATAGATACACTAAGAAAGGAAGTTAAAATCCGTTTGTAAGCATTTATTGTCCGTTAAATAGCACTTATGAGTGCATCTGTACCTGTAAGATTAAAGCATTGTGTCACGGTTTGCCTCAGGCAGGGCTTTGCTTTGGCGTGTTTGTTTGCGGAGATCTGAAACGGGATTAATTTCCTAATCCTTCATTGAAACCTCCACCTCCCAAACCCTCAAATTAAGCAGCACAGATACCGGAAAAGCTGGTTGCAGATCAGGCCACATCGTCAAACACTTAGTCACGCGTGAGTGATTTCAACCTAGCATGTGTTTCGGTAGCGGGAAGAGATATCAACATTCAACACCAAAGAATTCATTTATTATTCCACATCCTTTTTTACGAGGTCATTTGGTTTCTATCGTATAGCCTAAAGAATGAATAATTTGATAGCCAGACGACATATGACAAGCCTGACTTCAATATTTGTGTAACATTTAAATTCAGAGATGTGTTAGCCATCAGATAATTTCCATTTGACTCCATTAATTCACGGACTGCCGCACAAACCCCTGCTGTCATAACGGCTGTTGTACATCAAAACATATCGCGGCACTGAACAAGACTCCTACGTATTGTTAATGAAACTCATTTAAATGAGTCATTTATCAGGGCAGAAACACAGCTGTTCGCCTCTCCGAGCCCTGAAATCTTCATCAGAGATCTAAATTAAAAAAGCTCGTATTATTTCTCAAATGGCCTGTTGGGGGTTGCTGAGATCTAAGACCTTTTTATTCCTTTGCAGAAAAGTAATTAATTGTGTAGCAGCAGAAATACTAAGACTAACTTGTTTTCTGCCTTATTTTGAATCGACATGTCAAGATATTGTAGGCTACAGTAGGCTACATCTAAACAAATTATTATTTATTATTTTAAAACAAGGCTTTTAAAAAAAGCTATGACGTGAAATACCTGCTCCCTTCACATGTTAACCTCTTGGCACATAATACATTTTCTGTGTAAAATATTGTTTTAATGAAAATTTGTGTTATGTAGCAATTGTATTATATAAACAATTGAAATGTAGTATGTTAATATAAATCAATATAAATAAAAATAATATACTATATATATATATATATATATATATATATATATATATATATATATATGTAGATAATTCATAGATTCTATAAGTTAATTAATAATAATAATGATTATTATTATAATAACAGTTATAATATAATTATATCCTACCATAATATCATGATTATTGTAATTTCTCAATATAATGAAACTATGTATATAGTATTATTAACATTTGTAAATATTTATTTAAAAAACGCTATACAATTAATTATTGATGTATACATATACGTATAGTACATTGTTGAATTAAAAAATATTAAATACATTTTTGAATAAAAATATATTAATTATAAACATATTAATTAAATAAAATATTATAATTTTTATATTAATATATTATAAAATATGTAATATAAAATATTAATCTATTCATATAATTATATTGATATTAATTATATCACTATTCATTTAATATATAATTATTATTGTTATATGTATGTATATATTATTATGCGTATAGATGGATAGACAGATATTCTAATAATTTATGGATACTATATATATATATATATTTATATTAATATTAAAAATGTATTAACTAATATTATTCACCATTTTGTTTATTAAATAAATAATAGAAACTAAAATATGAGTGTGTATTGTTATGATGTTTAAGGTATACAGCAGAATATATGGTTAAGCACAAATTTCAATCTTATTATCGTTCTATTTTTTAGTTAAATTCCAGTCACACGCTTTGTCTTTGTTCTGTTTTTTAGCTCCTGTATTTCAGGGATGACATCACCTCAGGGTGTGTTTCTCTTCTTTGAGGATGACCTGCGGGTTTGATCTCCCTGGATCAGCCACATACTGTTTGACATCATGTGACACCTGCTGAACCACTGACACACTGAAACAGACAGGTGTGTGTGTGTGTTTCTGTGATTCAGGGACGTGACCCACAAACCTCCCTATACCTGCTTTACGTGTGTGTGTGTGTGTGTGTGTGTGTGTGTGTGTGTGTGTGTGTGTGTGTGTGTGTGTGTGTGTGTGTGTGTGTGTGTGTGTGTGTGTGTGTGTGTGTGTGTGTGTGTGTGTGTGTGTGTGTGTGTGTGTTTGTGTGTGGATGTTTTTAACCTTGAAGGTCAGGCTCAGGTGCAAGCGCGTTAATGATGTGTACATGCCCTGCAGATCAACTCTCACTTGTATTTGATCTTTTGATATTTGCTTTGTTTTTTGGGTAAAAAAAATAACGGAATGTGTGCAAATAGATGTAAAGCCCTGCACGTTTGCAGACACAATAAAATAAATAACATCAGACAGCAGACAAAACAAAACAAAAACACTGGCTTTCAGGTCAGATTCCTCTTTAAAGTGTGTTTCAAATGATTCAACATAAACACTCTTTGTTCTTGGTTTCAGTTGAGTACATGTTGTATAATGGGTAACCAATGCAAACTAACTAATGCAACTGTTTTCTCTTACAAAAAAATACATTGATGCTGCTTTGATACCGTACTATGGAACAGAATGATTACCATATTATACCCAAAGAATACAAAACATGGTCTAAAAAACATAGTACTATGATATAATCTACCATTACATTTTTGATATATTGTATTGTATTTTACATGATGAATAATGTGGTACATTGGTATCAGATAGTAATATTAGATCTAGACCACGGTACTCTTAAGGTACATTTTCAAAAAACAACATAGAATAGTATAAACATTCTGTCGTTACAAAATAAAATTGATGACTGGTTTTATTAAATGACTGATAAAATAGTGAATTGATGGTATATAAATGATGCTACTAGTCCTAATCTAAAAAAAACAGGGTATGCTTACAAAAATTATGGTAGCAAGGTACTTTTTTTGCAGCTTTTTGTTAGTAATATATATATATATACACTCACCTAAAGGATTATTAGGAACACCTGTTCAATTTCTCATTAATGCAATTATCTAATCAACCAATCACATGGCAGTTGCTTCAATGCATTTAGGGCTGTGGTCCTGGTCAAGACAATCTCCTGAACTCCAAACTGAATGTCAGAATGGGAAAGAAAGGTGATTTAAGCAATTTTGAGCGTGGCATGGTTGTTGGTGCCAGACGGGCCGGTCTGAGTATTTCACAATCTGCTCAGTTACTGGGATTTTCACGCACAACAATTTCTAGGGTTTACAAAGAATGGTGTGAAAAGGGAAAAACATCCAGTATGCGGCAGTCCTGTGGGCGAAAATGCCTTGTTGATGCTAGAGGTCAGAGGAGAATGGGCCGACTGATTCAAGCTGATAGAAGAGCAACTTTGACTGAAATAACCACTCGTTACAACCGAGGTATGCAGCAAAGCATTTGTGAAGCCACAACACTCACAACCTTGAGGCGGATGGGCTACAACAGCAGAAGACCCCACCGGGTACCACTCATCTCCACTACAAATAGGAAAAAGAGGCTACAATTTGCAAGAGATCACCAAAATTGGACAGTTGAAGACTGGAAAACTGTTGCCTGGTCTGATGAGTCTCGATTTCTGTTGAGACATTCAGATGGTAGAGTCAGAATTTGGCGTAAACAGAATGAGAACATGGATCCATCATGCCTTGTTACCACTGTGCAGGCTGGTGGTGGTGGTGTAATGGTGTGGGGGATGTTTTCTTGGCACACTTTAGGCCCCTTAGTGCCAATTGGGCATCGTTTAAATGCCACGGCCTACCTGAGCATTGTTTCTGACCATGTCCATCCCTTTATGGCCACCATGCACCCATCCTCTGATGGCTACTTCCAGCAGGATAATGCACCATGCAACAAAGCTCGAATCATTTCAAATTGGTTTCTTGAACATGACAATGAGTTCACTGTACTAAAATGGCCCCCACAGTCACCAGATCTCAATCCAATAGAGCATCTTTGGGATGTGGTGGAACGGGAGCTTCGTGCCCTGGATGTGCATCCCACAAATCTCCATCAACTGCAAGATGCTATCCTATCAATATGGGCCAACATTTCTAAAGAATGCTTTCAGCACCTTGTTGAATCAATGCCACGTAGAATTAAGGCAGTTCTGAAGGCGAAAGGGGGTCAAACACAGTATTAGTTTGGTGTTCCTAATAATCCTTTAGGTGAGTGTATATATATATCTTTTTAAAGCAATAAAAATATATACATTCTACCATTTACACCATATTTATACACTATTGTAAATATATAACTTTTATATATACTTTTATATATACTATAGGGGTGGTGATGGCGCAGTGGATAAGACACATGCCTTTGGTGTGAGAGACCCGGGTTCGAATCCACTGTGAGACACCAATGTGTCCCTGAGCAAGACACTTAACCCCTAGCTGCTCCAGAGGCGTGCGACCTCTGACATATATAGCAATTGTAAGTCGCTTTGGATAAAAGCGTCAGCTAAATGAATAAATGTAAATGTAAAATATACTTTCATACAAAGTATTGGGGGAAAAAAACAAAAAATTATTAGATATTTTTCATATGGTACTATCTATGATACTGCTTTTTACGTCTTTTTGGGCGTATACCATGGTATTTTTTTAAGTATTTTGGGGTACACCATGTAAATACCACAGTACATGAAATTCAGTAGCTTGTATTGATCAAAGTACCATGGTATTACCATCGGATACCATCATTGGAACATGGTCCTGATGAAGATTGAGGATTGTGGAGATGTTGTTTCAGATGCGTTGCCACTCTTGGTTTTGAAGGACATCTTTTCAGTATTTTTGTGTTGACAGAGCAGTTTTTCATGATGTTAGCTGTTGGGACGGCTTTGATGCAGGAATGGTGGGCTGTCGCTGGGAGTTTGGAGTGTGTTCGGTGACGAGGAACATAACAGAGTTATTTCTATAGACAGGACAGTGAGGAGAAGCCTGAGGAATGAACACGCAAACAGAGACACATCGAGTGCTGCAGGGACGTCCGTCCCCAGACGCTCCAAATGGACACAGTAAGGAAGAGGTCACGTCTATATTTGGCAAGGTCATCAAAGAGCCTGGAGGTAAAACGAATGATGTTTCATACTTGTGTGATTTTGAAAATGAGGCCTTGTTGAACTCACAGGGAGGAATACGACACATTAATGATGTGATGAGCTGATGTTAGGAGAGGGTGAGGAAGTGAATGCTCTTTTAGAGGAGGAGAGGGACATCTCTCCATCCAATTTCACCTGTTCGGCTCTGATAGCTTCACTGGTGGGAAATTGTGCAGAATAAATTTATGACCACTACAAAAAACATCTTGTCAGTAATGATATATGAAAAAAATATGGTTGCTAATTTAAATTGTATTGGTTAAAATTCTAAAGTTATATTTGTTGTACTAATTTAAAGGTTATGAACTTATGCTTATTTCAATAAAATATAAAAATTGTGTCTGAAAGGGTTCTAAAATGGGCTCTAAAATATTTAGTTACTTTTTGTCACAGTATATGAAGATAGTAAATATATAATATGATCTCATATTGCCATCTTAACTAACATCAATGTAGTATAGTTTACTATTTTTTTTATTATCATACTTTAAATTAAGAGTAGCAGTCTGAAAGTATCTTCCCCACCATTAAAACCTCTCTCTCTCTCTCTCTCTCTCTCTCTCTCTCTCTCTCTCTCTCTCTCTCTCTCTCTCTCTCTCTCTCTCTCTCTCTCTCTCTCTCTCTCTCTCTCTCTCTCTCTCTCTCTCTCTCTCTCTCTCTCTCTCTGCCACCCATCATCATCATCATCATGCTGTTCTGTTCAGGTCACCTGTCCTTGACCCCTCTGCTTTGTGTGCTCGACTTTCTGGAAGTTTCTCTGATTTCCCGTGCCGTGCGGTTCATCGAACCCCTCAGAGGGTCTTTCACCTGTCTCCTAACAGCTCCCAGAATGCAACACTGCGCAGAACAACACAAGCCTGGCAATTAGAGAAATGGAAACTGGAGTGCTCTTCCGAGAGGGGAAATAATTGGATGTTAGAGCGCGTATGTGTGGACTGTCTTGATTTACTTTTCTCATAGCAATTACCGTCGTCGAATAAAATGCAGCAATTTCAGCATTATTGGAATCGTTACCTTTACGCCCCTGTAGTTTATTACAGACTTTCTTATTTGGACACTGCGGATGAATGAAAGTAAGCGGCCAGTGGCTCAAAATGGGATTTCTTTGCTAAGATAAACGTTCTTGCTGCTTTAACGCCAGTTTCCGCGCTCTCCTTTTGTCAAACTTCCAATAGACGGCCACATTCCCATTGTGAGCACACCTGTTTCGTTTGCGCAAACATGTGAGTCACCAAACAAAACTCAACGACACCTGTGCAAACAAACTCAACCTAATGTACGCGGTTCTTTTTCCCCTCGTTCTTTTAGGAATCAAACAGGCTCAAGGAAACACACACACAAAAAGACAAGGACAAAAGTCAGAGGATGTGGAAAACAAGCATACAGTATGTCATGATATAGACGATTGAGCACACACTGTACGTTTACTCACACATTGTTTATCTGTGCATGTTTATTGTTCAGGTTTATTTTCTAGGTGATATAATTAGTTTTGAAATGTAAACCTACTGTATTTTAAAAGGTATATTATACATTAAAAATATGATACAATTTTAAATAATTAATATAAAAATTACATTAATTGAAAATGTTGACTAACCAATCGTAGTGTGTATATATATATATATATATATATATATATAATTTAATGTTTAGTCATATTTTTAGTATAAGTATCCAAATACAAACCATATCGCATTTGTGTATGTGGTAAATTTTTTTTTTTAGGTCATATTACTTTTGAAATGTAAATGTGCTGTGTTTTATACATTAAAAATTAAATCAAATATTAAATAATAATACAAAATCTATGTATATATGTTTATGTGTATAAACTACGACTGGTTTGTGTTTGGAAACTTTCCACATCGCGTCTGGTTGCGACATGGTGTCAAGGTGACAAATGCAAACCAATATGTGTGTGTGAAATCGTCACACCATAAAGTGTTTTTAAAACTTCCATCCGAATTTGACCTTGCAAATCCCTCCTCTAATTCCATCTGTTTATCAGTACTTGTTGATGGAGGGCAGCAGACTCTGGATTTAGAAGAAAACCTTTATCGAGTCCCATCGCCTTTGAAACGGATGACATCGATCGCGTAGCCAGAAGATTGTGACCCCTCCTGCCCTGGAGGACGATCAATGGACCCGCGCTTCACTTCTCCAACATCAGCAGAGGATTAAACAATCTCCCGGAACAACACAATTAACTCCGATTTACCTGACATCAATATCTAGGTACACACTACAGAAAGCACATAACACTTGAGAAATAATTGCCATTTTTGCATACTACATGCCAATATTAAAGGGGTCATGACAAGATTTTTATTATTATTCTTCCGCTTCTTTTTCCTCTCTGGAAATCTATGGCAGCCAATAGAACCGTATGGTAAAAAGTTGTTAATTTGGTACACAGATAGAGGTCAGTCCAAACATTCACCACGGTAAATTTGAGTTAGTCTCTTACTGAATCCCTCCAGCGCCACCAACTGTCCAAAATCTCACCTACATTTATGCTAATAACTTTTGAACCGTAAGGGCTAGAAACAAAATTCGATTGCAATTGAACATTTTCTAGAAAATAAAAACAAATTTTTGGAAACTCCTCAGATTATGTTGGCAAAAAAAATAACAAAAGCTTTTTGAGAAACCCAACTGTTCTCGAATAATGCGCAAACGAATTCGACGAACATGCCAAATGATATCTTGGCTATACTAGGCTATATCTTCGCAACGCTTTAACGTATTGAAACCGAACTTGGTGCATGTCATCCCAAGCATGACCTGAGGCTACATGAAGCGTTTCGGCACAATTTACCAAATTGAAAGAGTTGCCATTTTGAACGCTAATTTTACAGCATTTAACAATTACAAAATAGCAGAAAAGTACCTTTACAACGCAATAGAAGTGATTCAACTTAAAGAAGTGATTCGGTGTAGAATCTTAGAGTATGCAGTATAATAAAAAAATAAATGCAAATAGCTTTATGACAATTTATAACATTAAACTATTTACAATCTCAAACACCAATTTTACAGCATTCAGTGTATACAGCATAATGTAGAAATAGTATTGATTTAATTAACATATGGTGTAAACGATTTGAATAATTTAAGATTGGAAACGTACAAATAACAGCAAAGCGCGTGTTTGTATGAGTTCGTCTTGATCTGTGAAGATTGTAAATGGTGGTGGGTTTAAACAAAAGGTAGAATTGAGGAAAACCGCTTTTGACAGATCAGAAAGAGAAACCTCTTTATTTTCCATCAGAATCAAATGAGTGGTCTTGAAAGACCAGCAGACTGTTGTCCGGAGCCGTCCACATCAAAACGAGTTCTTTGAGTGGCCTTGCTTTTTACCAAAGCGTTATTCTCTCCTAATGGAGAACTGAAAGCCGCCGCGACCTCTGAGTTGACCTCCACCGAGTCGCAGATGCTCCCAGGATTGATATTTCACCTTGTAGTTTACTAGTTTACCTCTTTGCAGATACACAGCACATAACCTCTACACTACAGCATCACAAACAACATGCATTTGATTGGCAACATGAATGTAAGTAGGTTTTGCTATTCTCATGGGCTTTGCTTAAGGATATCAAAACAGTATTGTGTGTTTGTGTGTACTTGTAGAAAAGGTTCCTACAGCTCAATTGGGGCGATTTTTTTGGGTTACTAAACTGGTTTAGCATCCATACAAGGAAGCTACACCAATGTATAACACCCATGAGGTTTGGATCAGGCTTTTTAAACGAGCCTAGCTCCACTATCTACTCATTTATGCTGTTTAATCTGCATCCTTTGGGTGTTAGGAGTACTACTATGAGCCTGATAAGGCCGTTCTTAAAGGGATAGTTCACCCTCATGCCATCCCTGATGTACTGTATATGACTTTCTTTCTTCAGATAAACACAAAGATTTTTATAATGCAGAGTCCATATAATGCAAGCATTAGCCGCTTTTAAAACCACACACAGCGAACGTGATGGTAATCCATACGACCCCAGTGGATGAATCAATGTCTTCTGAAGCAAAATGATAGGTGTGTGAAAGAAAAATACTAGTATTTTAAACTTTTTTTACTATAAACCACCGCTTCTGGCCAATAGTTAGACTAAGCGCAGTTCAGCTTGACATTAACGTAAGTGTGTTGTGAATTTTGCACGAGAAGTAACACGGAAGCTCAGAGGACCGCCATTTTTCACGCGAGCTTCACAACACACGTATGTTTATGCCAAGCTGAACTTAAGGGCCGTGACACACCAAGACAGTTTTTTCCTTGCACGCAGGCGCAGGACACACATGCTAGTAGACAGTCGCCTTTAGTCCTTTTGGTGTGTTCAAGCGCAGCTTCTTGGTCTACACGAAGCCGACACGAAGCGACAACACAGTTAGATTAAAGTTGCCCAGAAGTGATGGTTTATTATGGTTAACTAAAACTAAAACCATACAAATTTTCCCACTACTTGAAATAAAATATACGGAGCCCTGCACATGACATGCAGACAAAAATGTATATATCGGTACCACGAATTAAGATTTCGTTCTCTCGTTTTAGTAAATCGTGGCCATGAATTAAGAATTTGTTCCCACGACTTATAAATTCGTTCCATCGTTTTGATTTAACTAAAACAAGGCAATGAATTATTACAACGAGGCCATGATTTAGTAAAACGAGGGAACAAATTATTATATCGTGCACACAATTTACTTTTAAAGGTTCTCTAAGCGATCCTGGGTGACGTCACTTCTTGTTGACGTTCGAACTATTGTCAAACAAAGAGGGCTAGCTAGACCCTCCCTCCTCCTCATCCGCACACTAACCCCCCAAACCACACCCCCAAACCCTTCTTGTCGGTCATTGGCTGGAACAGTTTGTTATGTTTCGCGGTGCGGGTAAGCCCAGTTTGTTTTTGTTGCCGTTTGTGAAGCCTGGGGTGTCTGCAGAGACCCCGTTTTTTTACAGTGTGTTCATGGGGACAGGCAGCCAGCGGTTAGTGAGGAGATGTTTGCTGTGTGTGACAAAAAAAGTTTTGGCCTAAAAAACGCGTGACATCGCTTAGAGCACCTTTAAAACGAGGGAGCAAATTAGTAAAACATGCTGACTTATTAGTGAGTCGTGCGAACGAGTTGTTAATTCATGGCTTGGATTATACATATATTTCTCCTGCATGTCAAGTACGGGGCTCTGAATGTTAACTGAATTAAACTAAAGTATGAAATTTATTATTATTATTTCAGCTAGTTGCCAAGGCAACTTTTTCAACATCGTAGTTTAGCTGTACTAAAATAACTAAAGCTAAAAAACCTAAAACAAATACACAAAGACGAATAAAAACGATATAGATATATTTAAAAAATAACAATAAAAATGACAAAAAGACAAAATGACTAAAACTATAACTGAAATTAAATTGAAAACAGAAAATAGAAAAATAGTAACAAAAACGATAATAGTATATCAATGATACTAAAATAACACGGGCTTGAAAACAGGTTATTTCTTTAAATAAATAAAAATCCCTTAAACTCAAGGTACAATCGGTCACTAATGTGTTTTTTTTAAGGCGGGGTCAGAAAGAAAGGGTAAATTAAGGAACCGCTACTAATCTAAAGTGGCTGAGTGTGTTTGCGTCATTGGTATCAATGGAGCTGTACAGAGTGTGTCTTTCACCCTCAAGGCACATGTACAGCATGATAACACCAACCAGATCCATTTGTCAGATCAACTTCCCTGCAATTAGACGAGCTCGTGGCCCAGCCATATCAAATCAAATCACTCTGACGAATCTACTCTCTTTTTGTCCCCCTGGCTCGACAGACTCTCTTTCTCTGTAGTCGAGTTCAGACATGATGCCAGCTCTCAGACAGATTCATTAACTGCATGGCTTCGTCGTGTTGAGGCTTCGTCGTGTTGAAGGCTTCAGTCAACATCGGATGTGATGTTAAACTCGACATCTTGATGTGGCGTGACAGCAAACAGACTCATATTATGCTGCGTTAAAAAGTGAATTCTCAATTCATATCTCAATTTAATGTGCAATTATAAGTCATCAAGATAAATTTTTTTTTGGTGCGTTTATCGTAATTCCATTTAGTGCCACTAGGGTTATTATCGTTAACTAAAACTAAAAGCATGAAAAGTGTACTGTAGTACAGTAGTAGTACTGTATGCCATTGGCCACTGGGTGTTTGTGATAAATCCATTTTTGTTTTGAAATGCTTGTATTTGTGAAAAGGTTAGTGTGTCGTGTTTGTTGCTATGTGTGTTTGGTTTCCGCATGATGTTAATTCCAGGTGATATGAGTGAGTAGCAGAATCAGGTCAGTGATAATCGAATATTTCCCCTCATCTGGACAATAAAGGTCAATGCTCGTACCTAGACATATCAGCCCCAGGACACCTACTGTACCTCACTGTGTGTGTCTGTCTGCCTCTGTGTGTATGAGTGCGTGTTGCAATAATACACCATGACGAAATGCTTTTCAGATCTATTTTTATACGATCCACGTTATGAATTTTAATGCTTTCTGCAGTCAAATTCACCCAGTTATGTCAACATGTTGAAGTACTGTTGAACCATCACCGTATGTCATCCAACAAGAGTGTATGTCATTATTAATACTTCTAGTGTATAGGTTTTGATTGACACAAGCATTTTTTTTTTGGACAAAGTTTTGTCATAAAAGTAGCAATTTTCCAACCAGTTGTAGGGGTGTTCGGTTCCAGGTTTTTCAGTCGACTTCAACTCCCGACTCCCACAAAAGGAATCGATTCCACTCTAATCCATTTACTTTACATCAAAACAGGGCCAGGAAAACAAGATTGCAGTCATTATTACACACTAATTTCTTTTCCCTGACACAAAGCCTTAAATTCCCCTTATTAAAACAACACTCTTTTAGGCTGACTGTCCAAATTAATCCAATTTAGCGATGATATGACCTTGAAATGATGTGTAGTTATTAGTGGTTGGATGAGCAGCGTCTGAGCATTCTCCGTCTTCATTAGTTATGGCCATGGCCATATTCCAGGATGACAATGTCATGATTCATCATATATATATATATATATATATATATATATATATATATATATATATATATATATATATATATATATATATATATATGTATATATATATAAGCTTTATATCAGCATCAGCCATCAAAAAAACTATTTTGGTCGACCACAGTTGTTATCAACATTGTTACCTAGTTAGTTGTGGCCAATACTTAATTTTACAGAGGTAAAAGTCACGAGAAACAGCTGTGGTCGAATATTATGTCAGAATTAAATAAGAGGGAAGATATTGGCTGCATCCGAAATCCCATACTTCCCTACTATATATAGTAGGCGAAAACCAGTATGTGACAAAAGAAGTATGTCCGAATTCACAGTGAGATTCTGAAGTGTGCATACGATGGAGTCTTAGGCCACGGGAGAGGATTTATGAATGGCAGTGAAGCGACACAACTAACGCTGGTTGGTCACATGATCATGAAAGCATTGAGAATGTAGTACGTCCAGATTACATTCATACTACACACATTCATACTATATAGAACATACTTTTTTAGCGGTCGTGAAGTAATTATTTGTTCAAAATAAGTACATACTCAAGAAAGCGATGAGCGATTTCGGACACAGCAACTCCCCATCACTAACTGTTCACTTTGAACATTTGTGAAATACACTGTATATATAATACATGTTGTCATAACAGACCATTAAATGAAATAAATAAATAAACAATGGAAAAATTAGAATAATAATAATAATTTGTTACATTTATAAAGTGCTTTTCTTGGCAAGGGGGAATCTCCTCAACAACCACCAATATATCTTATGGGGCACTTTAAAGGTTTCAGTCAAATGATATGAACATTATCATATGACACATCATATGACGTTTCCAAACAGCTCAGCTGATACTCCCACCACTTGTGTTTCGCAATACTTGGGTCAAGAAAAACAGAAAGAAAGCGAAACTTACAATATGAAAACCTTTCATGTTTTCTCTGTTTCAAACAATTACAGATGCTGGTCGATGGAGCGTGAGAGAAAGGCAACATCAAAACCGTGTGTGTGTGTGCGTATGTTCACCTGGTGTTGCTCTCGCTTGACTGACTCTGGAAATCGATGGACTTCAGGAGTTACAGTGTTACTGACTGCAGTTCTACCAGTACACTCCAGTTCACAGACAGGACGTATTATTCCTGGTACTGTCACAAGCACTGAACATCCACTGCAACAATGTTTACTTGTTCTTTGTTCAAATCGTCAACACAATTTACCATCAAAACGTTTAATATATACTCTGGTTTTATTTGTTTGTACCCTTTCACATAATTTGCAACAACAAACTTGTAAACTTGTACTTTTTTTCAAATCGGCACCACTATACAACAAATGCTTAATAATATCTACTATGACAATGTTTATTTGCACTTTGTTTACTTTGTTTACCAACAAAGCACTTAACTACACTGTACTTTTTTCCATAATTTACAGTACAAGAAAAAACTTTACAAATCTGCTTTAACATTGTAACAGTAATTTGCAAACAACACCCTAAGTATAACAATATATAACAATGTTTGTTTGTCACCAGTGGTTGCAAACAAAGCGCTAAATATTTGCCTTGACCATTTTTTGTGCTTCGTCACGACTTGCTTTTTGTTTGTACGTTGTTCAGTTACCGCGGTTTGCGAACAAACCCTAAATAACCACTAAAACAATGTTTGTACTTCATCCGACTTGTAACAAACAAAACGCTAAATATCTGCTTTAACAATGTTTGTTTTGACTTCTCACCACAAGTTGCAAACAAAATCCTTAATATCCACTATAACAATGTTTGTTTGTGCTTCATCCGATTTGTCACCACGGGTTGCAGACAAATCGCTAAATATCTCCTTTGAGAATTTGTTTTGTACTTCGTCTGACTTGCTTTAACAATGTTTGTTTGCATTTTGTTCAGTTGCCGCAATGTGCAAACAAACTCTAAGTATACACTACTCAATCCGATTTGTCACCAGTCACAAACAAAATGCTAAATATCTACTTTAACAATGTTTGGTTGTACTTCCAACCACAAGTTGCAAACAAAATCCTTAATATCCACTATAACAATGTTTGTTTGTGCTTCATCCGAGTTGTCACCATGGGTTGCAGACAAAGCTAAATATCTGCTTTGACCATTTTTTGTACTTCTGAACTGTGTCATTTTCTTTTTTGTTCTTTATCTTGTGTCAACAATCTGCAAACAAACTAAATAGCCGTTTTGTTTCACTTGTCAACCCATTTCCCAATCAAAATGTAATATATCTGTTAGTACAATGTTCAACTTGTCCCCACAAATGCATGTTTAGCTAAAGAAAAATGATTATCTGTTGGCATTATAGCCACAGTTTTGTTTCATAAAGGGATGCTTGAAGGTCCAAAATGTGTTATATTGTTTGTGAATGTTGGAGGAAAAGTCAAACCGATCTGCATTTTATTGTTGTATACGTGTACAGAAGTGTCGTGTGGCGGCCCCGTTCCCCTTTATCTGTCAGGGTTCGAAACACACATGCCGTGCATAATGTGTGCTGATGGAGGCAGGTTAAGACCCCACAAACGTGTGTGTGTGTGTGTGTGTGTGTGTGCATGATGCATGTTGAGAGGGGAGGTTAAAGGGGTAGAGTCTGGGAGTGTGTGAGAGTGTTTTGACAGTAGCACTGCCATCAGCTGCATACTGTATAGTGTGTCTGGGTTAGTGTTTCATCGTATTTCCCTCAGGTAAACAAGGCATGCCTCCTCTACCAAACACAAAGACTACATTAGACCCCTCACACAAACACAATAATATTTATCCATGATTTTCTGCTTCATGCTTTTGGTACTATTCAAATTATTCAGAAGTTCTTACTGTGTAAGATAATCTTACTGTGTAAACTATGTGTAATTTATTTCAAAAACACAAATCTTTTCAAAGCGGATAGTGCTTTTTGCAAATTCTGTTGAGAATTCAAGCAAAGAACAAAGAAACGTTAAAGCAGACACTTAGCATTTATGTAGAAAATAGTGGTAAAAAGTCGCAAAAGTATAAACAATTGATTTATACAATTGTTTATGAAGTATAACAATTGAGATGAAGTACACTCACCTAAAGGAGTATTAGGAACACCATACTAATACTGTGTTTGACCCCCTTTCGCCTTCAGAACTGCTTTAATTCTACGTGGCATTGATTCAACAAGGCGCTGAAAGCATTCTTTAGAAATGTTGGCCCATATTGATAGGATAGCATCTTGCAGTTGATGGAGATTTGTGGGATGCACATCCAGGGCACGAAGCTCCCGTTCCACCACATCCCAAAGATGCTCTATTGGATTGAGATCTGGTGACTGTGGGGGCCATTTTAGTACAGTGAACTCATTGTCATGTTCAAGAAACCCATTTGAAATGATTCGAGCTTTGTGACATGGTGCATTATCCTGCTGGAAGTAGCCATCAGAGGATGGGTACATGGTGGCCATAAAGGGATGGACATGGTCAGAAACAATGCTCAGGTAGGCCGTGGCATTTAAATTATGCCCAATTGGCACTAAGGGGCCTAAAGTGTGCCAAGAAAAAATCCCCCACACCATTACACCACCACCACCAGCCTGCACAGTGGTAACAAGGCATGATGGATCCATGTTCTCATTCTGTTTACGCCAAATTCTGACTCTACCATCTGAATGTCTCAACAGAAATCGAGACTCATCAGACCAGGCAACATTTTTCCAGTCTTCAACTGTCCAATTTTGGTGAGCTCTTGCAAATTGTAGCCTCTTTTTCCCATTTGTAGTGGAGATGAGTGGTACCCGGTGGGGTCTTCTGCTGTTGTAGCCCATCCGCCTCAAGGTTGTGCGTGTTGTGGCTTCACAAATGCTTTGCTGCATACCTCGGTTGTAACGAGTGGTTATTTCAGTCAAAGTTGCTCTTCTATCAGCTTGAATCAGTCGGCCCATTCTCCTCTGACCTCTAGCATCAACAAGGCATTTTCGCCCACAGGACTGCCGCATATTGGATGTTTTTCCCTTTTCACACCATTCTTTGTAAACCCTAGAAACAGTTGTGTGTGAAAATCCCAGTAACTGAGCAGATTGTGAAATACTCAGACCGGCCCGTCTGGCCCCAACAACCATGCCACGCTCAAAATTGCTTAAATCACCTTTCTTTCCCATTCTGACATTCAGTTTGGAGTTCAGGAGATTGTCTTGACCAGGACCACACCCCTAAATGCATTTAAGCAACTGCCATGTGATTGGTTGATTAGATAATTGCATTAATGAGAAATTGAACAGGTGTTCCTAATAATCCTTTAGGTGAGTGTATAGCGTTTTGTTTGCAAATTGTATTGGCAGGTTGAATAAAGAGCAAACAAAACTTGTTTAACTAAAGGAAATTATGTTAACAGTCTTAGTCTTATATGTTAACAGTCTGTTAACTTATTACAAAAACACATGTACTAATATTGCCAAAACAGATATTTATTGTTTTATAGTGGTGACAATAGTGGTAAAAATAGTGGTAAGAATTTGCTAAATGTTATAAACAATGTTTTTTTAGTGGATATGTGGCATTTTGATTGATTTCGAACGAAGAACAAACAAAAATAGTTAAAGCTGGTTTAGAATTTTTTTTGGCAATTTCTGGGACGATTCGAACAAGGTACAAACAAATGTTAGATAAGATATTTAGCTTTTTTTTTTGTGAACTGAGCTGGCAAAATGAACCGAGTAAATTGTGGTGAGATGCTGAACAGAGTACAAAGATTGTTAAAAAACGGATTTTTAGAAATTTGTTTGTTCGACTTCTCACCACAATTTACAAAATACAAACAAGCATTCTTAGAACATGTATTGTTTTGTTTGCAAATCACATTGATTATTCAAACAAAGAGCAAACAAAAACTGTTAAAATGAATGTTTGACATTATGTTTGCGAATTGTAGTGGCACATCGAACGAAGTACCATGACAGTTTATTTCTGATTCTCTTGTTCTGGCTAACCTTGTAAATGTCCACCTGTGAAAAACAATTTATTCTCTGCAGTCTAGCTCTCTTTCTGTGTTGGTGTGATATTAAGTGACAGAATGCTTTAGTGTGACAATGATTTCAGCCTTACAAAATGTCACCGTTCTGCTCTCTTTCCTTCAACGTGTGTGTGTGTGTGTGTGTGTGTGTGTGTGTGTGTGTGTGTGTGTGTGTGTGTGTGTGTGTGTGTGTGTGTGTGTGTGTATGTGAATGTGTGTGTGTGTGTGTGTGTGTGTGTGTGTGTGTGTGTGTGTGTGTGTGTGGAAAGCGAGAGGTAGAGATCTGCTCATGGCAATTCTGCTGCAATCACACACACACACACACACACATATCATATGTACACACACAAACCTGCCAGCGCAAAGGAAAAGTTGTGATCAGAGCAGAAAGCAGATGACAGCAGAATTATTCATTGTATGCATTGCATAAGTTTGTCATTTTTGGGTTTCTATTACTTAAACGACCTCCCTCCAAAAGAGTTTTGGCTGCGTTGGACAGGGTTACCAATAACATTTTAACACTTTGTAACCACTTTCAGAATGAGGGTAACATAATCGTATGCAAAATATTTCCTTTCAAAGTTCTCTCTCTCCTCCCATACCTCCTCTCACACTGTACTGTATCTGTTCCTCACTGTTAAGAGTATTCAAATTAAATACACGTTTCTTTTCTTCAGAATCAAAGCATGGAAAGAACGAAACCCACCACACAGATCAGAGGGCTGTGTTCCCCAGGACAGAGAGGGGTCTTCTGGGTACCGGCTGAACTGACAACCCCTGGAGCAGCTACACGGCTCTTTGCACAAATTGAACTGACAGCAGCTTTTTCCACAGAACGTATAAAGCAAAGAACTGTTTTATGTCCAGTTTACTGAGCAAACTCTCTCAATAATGGTGTTTAATGTTTATGTCAGAATGTTTATTTTTAAACCACAATTTTTAAACCACAACCCTCTCTAATGTCAGAATGTTTATTTTTAAACCACAACTTCAATGTGTGCTTCTTTTACCGATATATTTAACGAAATCTTTTGCATTTCTAATACAAACAACGTCAAACTCGGCACTGTATTAATAAAACAAAACCACATAATATTGTACTAGACATGTGGGAAATTAATGTGGGAAAAATAAATACTCTGAATAAGTAGATTTACACAAACTGAGAAAGTCAAAAATGTAATAATACATTGGTTTCAGCGTAATAATATATTTGTTACAGTGTAATAATATTTTAGTTACCGTGTAACTTTTGTAAAAGTGTAATAATACATTTGTTACAGCGTAAAAACATTTGTTACAGTGTTATTATAACTTTTGTTAGTGTAATAAGTGTAATTATACGTTTGTTGCCGTGTAATTATACATTTTTAGTGTAATCATACATTTGTTCCAGTTTGAATAAGTGTAATTATGTTTGTTACAGTGAAATTAAATATTTTTTGCAGTTTAATGAAGTGTAATTATACATTTGTTACAGTGTAATAATAAATCTGTTGCAGTTTAATTCAGTGCAATTATACGTTTGTTACAATGTAATACATTTATTACAGTGTTATTACACATTTATTACAATGTAATTATACATTTATTACAATGTAATACATTTATTAGTGTTATTATACATTTATTACAATGTAATTATACATTTATTACAGTGTTATTATACATTTATTACAATGTCATTATACATTTATTACAGTGTTATTACACATTTATTACAATGTAATTATACGTTTATTACAATGTAATTATACCTTTATTACAATGTAATTATACGTTTATTACAATGTAATTATACATTTATTACAATGTAATTATGTTTATTACAATGTAATACATTTATTACAATGTAATTATACGTTTATTACACTTTATTACAATGTAATTATACGTTTATAACAATGTAATACATTTATTAGTGTTATTATACATTTATTACAATGTAATTATATGTTTATTACAATGTAATTATACCTTTATTACAATGTAATTATACGTTTATTACAATGTAATTATACATTTATTACAATGTAATTATGTTTATTACAATGTAATACATTTATTACAATGTAATTATACGTTTATTACACTTTATTACAATGTAATTATACGTTTATAACAATGTAATACATTTATTAGTAATTATACATTTATTACAGTGTTATTATACATTTATTACAACGTCATTATACATTTATTACAGTGTTATACACATTTATTACAATGTAATTATATGTTTATTACAATGTAATTATACCTTTATTACAATGTAATTATACGTTTATTACAATGTAATTATACATTTATTACAATGTAATTATGTTTATTACAATGTAATACATTTATTACAATGTAATTATACGTTTATTACACTTTATTACAATGTAATTATACGTTTATAACAATGTAATACATTTATTAGTGTTATTATACATTTATTACAATGTAATTATACATTTATTACAATGTAATACTTTAACACTAGAAGTGCCAGAATTCCATAACTACTAGAACTGCCACAAGCGGTCATTTTGACCGTTAGATTGCAATCTCTATATCTTTAATGATAAATACCCAATTGAGAGATTAATGCATTTATTGTATTAGGATATCTTTTAAAAACAAAACAACACCAAACTGTACCTTTAAAAAAGTTTAATTATACATTTATAAATAATAATATCAGTAGCCCGTAATTATCGCATATTCACAACAGATAGCTATATTTCCATATCCATTCACCATAACTCAGAACAAGATAATAACAACTAAAAGTATCTTATTTAGATATTCTTTTGACAGTGAGAGAGACAATGTCGCGGTTTATGAATTTGCTGTCTCCTTTCTCGTCTTGTGTGTGTGTGTGTGTGTGTGTGTGTGTGTGTGTGTGTGTGTGTGTGTGTGCGTGCGCGTGTGCGTGTTTGTTCCCTGCCTGTATCCGTTTTCCGTGTGTTATCCCGTGTTCAGCACTCCATGGTTCTACACGCAGCGTCCCTGTGCTGCCAAGGGCTTCATACCGGACATTTACACACCTTAACTCTCCCAGCATCTGACCAGCTCTCAATAAACATATCTGTCATTTTGCAATTGAATCTTCTGATTATTTCCTAATAGACAAAGGCCAACCGCGACGAGAAATGTAACAAAAGAATACCACGAAATTCAGTGTGGTCAATATGACCGTCTATGGCCGAAATAGGTAAATATGTTCATTTGTTTTTTTGCCTTATGTGTAATTTATATTAAAAACATTTTAAATGAAAATACAGACACTTTTAGGAAAAGTCAGGTACCAGCAGGATTTTATTTATTTTATTGCAGTTATAAAATTCAAAACGGTCAAAATGACCGCCGTGGCCGTTCTAGTGTTAATTACAATGTAATTATACGTTTATAACATTGTAATACATTTATTAGTGTTATTATACATTTATTAGAGTGTTATTATACATTTATTACAGTGTTATACACATTTATTACAATGTAATTATATGTTTATTACAATGTAATTATACATTTATTACAGTGTTCTTATACATTTATTACAATATAATTATACATTATTACAATGTAATTGACCGTTCGCAGGCCCCTCCCCCAAAACGGCTATTGTCCAATCACACATCATAGCAACCGTTACTAGGTGAGCAGGTCCGTCAAACATTGACTCCAAGCAAGATGGTGAAGCGGTGCGCCCACGGCGTTTGTAAATCGGACACTAGATACCCCGAGAGATTGTCTGTAGGAGTTGTGTTCTTTCCGTTTCAAAAGCCGAAAACACAACGTGCGCGGTCCCTACAATGGATAAAAACAGTGTGGACGGCCCCACTCCCAGTTACATGTGTCGAACATGGTTAACTCGCGTGCAGCGTGCGTGAGACTGAGACAATGAGGTCAAAGACACATGGAGAAAGCAGATCAAGAGGATCCAAAAAGGAAGTACGTTTTCTAAAGTGTTGTTAACATGATATTTTAGGGGGGAAATGAGCAGCAGTCACTAGCAGTGCAGACGTTAGAGGAGTGCACGTTCGCAACGGGGAACGCATGAAGCTTACTTGACAACATCAGTTCATATCAATATCGTAACGAATAGAAATAATGGTTATCTGCATCTTTCCGTCTATTATGTATAGTTACTTTTTAAACACGAAAATCGCATTCAGCATGACACGCAAGCGGTTGCCGTGGTAATGAACAACCTGCTTGTTAAAGCGAATGAATAATCCTGTATCTGAGGCAAAATTACTAAATATGCAGCGCGAGTTATATATTTCTAACTCCAAACAATTAGCCACTGAAACAGCTTATAAAATCTTCTTCAAGGCTGTGCTGGTTGCATTTGAGGAAGCTGCTACAGGTCATGGGGTTTCTCAGATTTCGCTTGAGACCGGTTTGAGAGCTTGAGAGCATTATTAGCCTCGATAGTAGTCGTGTCTCCTTCATTGCGTATTTTTATATGTTGAATAGCATATCCCTCCACTGCATACTGTAACCCCCTTTGCCTCGATCTGGAGGATATCGCAGAGGTATTGCTCCAAAAAAGGTCACTGACGCACCTCTTCCCGTCATGGCAATCTGTGGCGCTGGTCATGTTTGACCATTTGTTTGACGGGCGTAGCAACAATAACTAGGGGGCGTGGCTTTTGCGAACGGTCAATTATACGTTTATTACAATGTAATACATTTATTACAGTGTTATTATACATTTATTACAATGTAATTATATGTTTATTACAATGTAATTATACATTTATCACAGTGTTCTTATACATTTATTACAATATAATTATACATTTATTACAATGTAATACATTTATTACAATGTAATTATACGTTTATTACAATGTAATTATGCATTACAGTGTTATTATACGTTTAATACAATGGAATTATACATTTATTACAATGTAATACATTTATTACAATGTAATTATACGTTTATTACAATGTAATTATGCATTACAGTGTTATTATACGTTTATTACAATGAAATTATACAAAAAATACAAAAATAAATGTTCAATATCTTCAATTGATGTGTCACAAAAAGTACATTTATCACAAACAGTATGACAGTATTACAGTGAATAATGTTTGAATAATGTTTATTTTGGGGAGTGGCCAGTGACCACTCAGTGTGCAGTGTGGAGGGGGAGTGGCCACTCAGTGTGCAGTGTGGAGGGGTAGTGGCCACTCAGTGTGCAGTGTGAGAAGGGGAGTGGCCACTCAGTGTGCAGTGTGAGAAGGGGAGTGGCCACTCAGTGTGCAGTGTGGAGGGGGAGTGGCCACTCAGTGTGCAGTGTGGAGGGGGAGTGGCCACTCAGTGTGCAGTGTGGAGGGGGAGTGGCCACTCAGTGTGCAGTGTGGAGGGGGAGTGGCCACTCAGTGTGCAGTGTGAGAAGGGGAGTGGCCACTCAGTGTGCAGTGTGGAGGGGGAGTGGCCACTCAGTGTGCAGTGTGAGAAGGGGAGTGGCCACTCAGTGTGCAGTGTGGAGGGGGAGTGGCCACTCAGTGTGCAGTGTGGAGGGGGAGTGGCCACTCAGTGTGCAGTGTGGAGGGGGAGTGGCCACTCAGTGTGCAGTGTGAGAGGGGGAGTGGCCACTCAGTGTGCAGTGTGGAGGGGGAGTCGCCACTCAGTGTGCAGTGTGAGAGGGGGAGTGGCCACTCAGTGTGCAGTGTGGAGGGGGAGTGGCCACTCAGTGTGCAGTGTGGAGGGGGAGTGGCCACTCAGTGTGCAGTGTGGAGGGGGAGTGGCCACTCAGTGTGCAGTGTGAGAAGGGGAGTGGCCACTCAGTGTGCAGTGTGGAGGGGGAGTGGCCACTCAGTGTGCAGTGTGAGAAGGGGAGTGGCCACTCAGTGTGCAGTGTGGAGGGGGAGTGGCCACTCAGTGTGCAGTGTGGAGGGGGAGTGGCCACTCAGTGTGCAGTGTGGAGGGGGAGTGGCCACTCAGTGTGCAGTGTGAGAGGGGGAGTGGCCACTCAGTGTGCAGTGTGGAGGGGGAGTGGCCACTCAGTGTGCAGTGTGAGAAGGGGAGTGGCCAGTCAGTGTGCAGTGTGAGAAGGGGAGTGGCCACTCAGTGTGCAGTGTGGAGTGGGAGTGGCCACTCAGTGTGCACTGTGGAGGGGGAGTGGCCACTCAGTGTGCAGAACACCAATTTGAAAACGGTGTCATGCGCGCACATATTACATGTTTAGTCTATAAGCCCGTAGTATTTCTTTACAAAATGACATCGCCATCTACTGGCCTGGCAGCATAATACAGCGTTTTTAGTCATTTTCGTGGATCCGTGTGAACGGGGATCATTTATCTAAGGAAAAACGTTTCCGTTTTTAGTACATCGTTGTTGTGTAAACAAGAAGCATTCAAGTGGCCCAGCTGAGACAGACAGCTGCATATTTCGGCCCAGAGGTGACCAGATGGTAGAACGTAAACCCTCATCAGCTGTGAACCTTCAACCAGCTCTACACACATCACACAAACACCATCCAAATCTCCCCAAGAGCGCAAGAGTTTCTTGTCAAGGGTTAAACAAGTCAGGGTGTGGAAAGAGAATGAGGAATGTGGTTCTTTTTCTTTTCTACCTTTCATCGGTGAAGCACATGTTGCTGAGGGGAAAGATTATAGTAAAGACTCGTTTCCTGTCAGTCAGCTTTGGTTCAAAGACCCGCTGCGGTTAAACTTTTATTCGGATGGGGTGAATAGGAATTAAGATTGCGCCGTTTACCTGTAATGACATGGAAAGTTGGTTTTCAGCCTTGTGAAACCAACATTAGTCCTATCCCGAAAGTTCTCAAGCAGCTCCGTGGTACATGTTTTGCTGCGACACATACAGTCGGTTCTCACAGCAAGCGACTATCGCGCTCCTCTGAGGGCTGCAAAAAATCAAATCAGGCGAGTTAATGAGGCTCCAACAGCCCCCTACCATCTCTCCTGAGAGAGAAAAAAAGAGGGAGGACGAGGCAGAGAAATGAAACGGCCCTGGAAAAGTGCTGATTCTTGGCACTGGGGCTCTCTGAGCTTGACAGCGCAGCAATAAAAAGCCAAGTTCTGACTTACTGCGTTTCTGCCACACTCCCCAGACCAGAAATACGAAGAGTTTGAAGTCAAAACTGTCAGAGTGACCTAAATACACGCTTTTGTCTGTGAGATCAGTCCATTTGGAAATGAACATACTACAGACATGGCACACCCATTTTACTTCTATAATGTGACATATTGTTGCATGAAACTGGATATTTATGGTGGAGAATGTAGGCATTTTAAAGTTATCCATCAGGATTGATTGGATTGTGATTATGTGGCCATTACAAACGAGAATGGACCAAAAACGACAAAGCTATCTGTTAACGCCTAATCTTTTTTTTTTTTATTGCACACAGAAGCAGCTAAATCCGTTATTCGTTTTATTTACAATGTCCTACAGCTTAAAAATGTCCTTCAGACTCCATAATGGAGTTTCTAGTGTGATGAGAAGGAAATCATATACAGTTTAATATCTGCTGCAGACAAATGCCAAGTAATTAAGATTCTGATCACGATTCAGATTTGAACTAGCGCTGCTCCCGTGTCGTGTGTTATGAGACTCGAGCACAGCAGGCGAAGGCTCTGAATTATATTATTTCAGTGATATTTTTGCTCTGGCCTTAATCTAGCCTTGGTATATCTTTTATTAATCATTTCTTATGTTTTTTCTTTCTTTTTGTCAAAATGTTTTTGCTCATGCTTGATAGAAGTTGGCATTTCTGATTAATTTTAATGAATCAGTTCATTTGTTTTAATGAATGATTCATTGATCATTGGACTCAAATGCTTTCCCAGAAGTCTCTGCACTGTATTTTAAGTAATCTTGCTTGCAACCACTTTGCGACAAGCCTAAGACTACTCAAAACAACTTAGAAAAAAACACAAAGCAACAAATCTGAAATTACTTTGAACACTTTAGCAACACGCACATTGTCGTAGGGTTTGCATGTGAAAATGGCCTTACATTTTCTTTAGAAAGAATAATTAATTACATAAACGAAAAAATCTTATATTGACACTGTACTCATGCTCTTACGCCACACAGCCATCTTCTCAAACAGTGAAAGACATTGCGGAGCAATGAGGACACTGGAAAAGTGCCGACAGACAAGACAGATTACTTCTGATATGAAACTAAGTCTCAGCTTTCATTACCGTTTTGACATTACCGTACACGTTTTGACCGTTTTTGCTGTAGCGCTAAGTGACACGTGAACCAATCCGTTTTTCTCTTTATTACTAGTTATAGCACTAAATAAACATGAATGAACATCAGAAACTACACTGTAAAATAAAGTTGCTTCCTTAAAGTTGATAAGTTGATTGTACTTAAAAATGTAAGTCATTTCAACTTAAATTACATAAAACTGACTTGAGTTGAAAATGAGTTGAATCATGTATAAAATTTCATTCTTCAATTAAATTAAATTCTTATAAAATTTAATTATTATAAAAAATTGGCAAGTTAAAGCAATGTAATGTTGTCAACCTATTGATCATATAATTTTTTACAGTGTATGTTGAAAGACACAGTACATTTAATGAATGTTTATATGAATAAAAGCCTAAATTCAATCTGTTCATCAAATAAAGTGATTGAGTCTCTTCAGAAAATTTGGACTAAACCGCTTGATTCATATGGATTAGGCTAGTTTTATGATCTCTTTATGAACTTTTTGAAGCGTCAAAGTGTCAGTGGCGTAGCTGTCAATGGAGGGACAGAAAGATCTCAGATTTCACCAAAAAGAACTTAATTTGTGTTCCGAAGATGAACGAAATGACATGAGGGGGAGACGGGGAGTAGCCTAATAGATGACAACATTTTCCTTTTTGGGTGAACTATCCCTTTAAACGAATCGTACTGGCTATGTTTTCAATCCATACAGTAGTTTCTAGCGAATATAAATTCACAATAAACGCAAAATGCTGTCGTGTGCTTTTGCATGTTGACCTTGCAGTGCAGCAGAGAGAGATATTCTGGTCACCCACCCGTCGCAAAGTAAAGACCTGCTGACCTGTTCGTCCCCGCGTCCAGATGCCAGATGGTGGCTGCTAGTGATGCAGATGCAAGTGTGTGTATGTGTGCAGACAGACAGACAGACAGACACAGAGAGAGAGAGAGAGAGAGAGAGAGAGAGAGAGAGAGAGAGAGAGAGAGAGAGAGAGAGAGAGAGAGAGAGAGAGAGAGAGAGAGAGAGAGAGAGAGAGAGAGAGAGAGAGAGAGAGAGAGAGAGAGAGCAAAAGCCTCTGGCCCAAACCTCACTCCATTTCAACTCTGTTGTGAGGACACGTCACAGTCGTCAGGAAGACACACGCTGCCCCTTCAAACAGGCCTTTTCTGCCCAGCTGACATATTCGCTCTGTAACCTTCCAATGCAGCGACATTCACCTTATATGACAGCCATTCGTTCTTTTCTTTCTTTCTTTTTTTTCTCTTTTGATACCTGATTATTTTTAAGCTGTTTTTGTCTGCAATTACTTGGTGCCATTGCCATATTAGAATTATATTTTCTGCCACAGTTGCAGAATGACAAGCGTGTGCTTGTACTGACACCTAGAGGACGTTATCGGTCAACGCATGCGTTATTGTGACTCAATCTTTTTTTTTTCTTTTCTTTTTTCGGTCTCCAGCCTGTTTCCATTCAATTGGCCTTTTGTTTTTTAAATAACAGAAAATATAAAAAATGTGTACAAACATAAACAACTCACATGGAAACAAATATACATATATGAGGAGTGTATAAGGGAAAATAAAAACAATTTATGCCAGGGGCAACAAAATTACAAGTTAAAGTGATGAAATGCTAAGTCGTTTTTCTGTTTAATATTATCTAAAGTAGTGAAGTAGACAAAGTGTGAATACATGAATGTTTTGCTGTACTGTTTATTTATTATAAAGCATATTATATTTATTCATATTATTCATATCATATATTTCTATTAGTACGTTTATAATTAAATGTGCTTAACATTATAGTGTTACAATATATATATATATATATATGTGTGTGTGTGTGTGTGTGTGTGTGATTTTATTTATATCTTTTGTTATTTTTTGTTGTTGCTGCTTTTGTACTATGCGGCGCTCCGTCATGACGTCATGACGCGGCTCATGGTGCGGACGTGATGATCAGCAGATCAGAACCTGGAAAAGACAAACGGGGTGAGTGAGTGGAACACGTTGTCCTTTACCTTGAAAACGCGGTAAAATGAACGACACATCACTATTAAACCTGTGTCATATACATCTGTAATAGCAGAAGAGGGTGTCGATGACAGTTTGACGCTAATGTCACGTGTTAGCTGTGCTTTAATCGAGTTTAAAGTGAAAGTGAGCGGATCATAACAGTGTTGGTTTGAGTTGTTTACAAGCTGATCTATGGTGAAAACAAACTAACAATTAACCTCTGCCATGACAGTCTGTACTCATATTCATGTGCATGTGATAGAGTTTTACATTTAACCTTAATTTATGAAGAGCATGTCATTAAAGGCAAGGAAAACAATGACTTTTATGGGTATTTTTAGTGAGTAATATGTTTAATACAATGACATATAGAAACACTCAAGTCTAAAATATTTGCAAGTTACCTTATTATACTTATTTAACCTTTTTAAAGCAGTTATGTAATTTATATAAATTATGTAATTTTAGATAATACTTGTCTTTGGCAGCCAAACGTTTCTTTTTACGTGTATAGATTCATTTATTGTTGTATTTTACATGACATATTTTTGTATTTGTTCATTATTACATATTTTAATATGAAATAAGTTCAGTCCTTAAAATGAATGTTTGCAGGTTGAAGTGAAGTGGAGCTGTGCACAGCATTATGGCGAGTGTGAGTATCATTCATCATCATATGATCATTCGATGAGTCTTGATGTGTGTGTAACGCTGTGTGTGTGTGTGTGTGTGTGTTGAATAATGCAGGCGCTGTGCAGGAGGGTTAGACAGGTCAGCCAGTCGTCTGTGGTTCACACACTGGTTCAGAGGATCGTGGCTGTCAGAGGGTTTTCAGCCGCAGGTTCGTCTGGATCAGATGAGCCCTATATATCTGTACCATCTCAAAACTCAGGTCATTATGAAGGTTTCTGTTACATGAACGTGATTTATATTTATGTATATGCTTGTGGAGGGGCCATTATACAATATATATACGGTTTCATGTTTCTTGCTCTTGAAGAAAAAATATGGTAATTTTAAATAATTCTAAATAAATTATATTTATTTATATATTTATGGTGTATAACAATGCAAATGTGATTTATTTTATTGATATGTCTATATCTATATTATTTACATATTTATAAATATTTTATTAATAAATTTAACATTAATTGTTTAGTATTATAGTGTATAACAATGTCAAATTTGATGTTTATATATATATAATATGCATTCAATTCTAATAAATCTCTTTCTACATCTATATATATTAATATTAATGAAACTGTTGAAATTGTTTATATGTGGTACTGGTACATTTTTTTTATATGCATTTGGTATGTTAATAATATATATGTGTGTCTGTGTGTGAATAAAATATATATATATATATATATATATATATATATATATATATATATATATATATATATATATATATATATATATATATAATGTTTTTAACATTTAATTGTTTAATATTAATTTATAACAATGTAAATACGGATATATCTTTACGTTTATATTACTATATTTATGTATTTGAAATCTATTAAAATGTTTTTATTTTAATATATTTTTGCTTGACATAAAATGTATATCTTGTTATTATATCTATGTGCATTTAATATATGTATGTATGTGTGTGTGTGTAAATTTTTATATTAATTTTATTATATTAATATATTTGTATTATTATATTTAACATTAAATATTTGTTAATGGTCTTTCTGACAGGTCCTACAACAATATGGCCAGATGAGATGATGGGTCCGTTCGGGCCTCAAGATCAAAGGTTCCAGTTGCCAGGCAACGTGGGTTTCGACTGTCACCTCAAAGGTACAGAGTTACAGATGAAAGTCCCGGTCCACCGGACAGTCCCGGATGTTTTAACCACCCCGTCTAGCGCAGAGAGGCACGAGTTCATACTCGCACAGTTCGTCAATGAATATCAGGTAAAAATCAGTTTAAAAAAATTAATTGGTAAAAATTCTTCAGTTTTGTTTTTTATTATTACAATGACTGAGTTGATTTGTGATGTTTAGGGTAAAGAAGTTTCTCTAATGGCGCAGAGAGTCAGTAAAGCTGAACACTATTTCAGTCAGTCAAATGTGGAGTGTTCCATGCATTCCTGTCCAGAGCTGCTGAAGAAGGGTACGCACTTGTAACATACTTGTAAAGCATCTTTAAAAGTTACTAGAACAGTTTTTTAATAACCAAATCCTTGTTTTGACAGAGTTAGAGCTATTTTTCCCAGTGATGCCTATGAGTCCCATCACTGTCGTCACAGTAACACAAAAGAACCAGAAGTTGGGAACAGAGGAACTGAACAGAGATCAGGATGAACTACTGGATCATGTGAGTTTGACTGGAAAATTACATATTGTTTTAAATTATAAATATAGACTTAATTTTTTATTAATTGAATTGTGATACATATTTATTTATATATTATACATTTGATTGTTTATTAATATATTATTATTATATTCATATATTTAACATTTTTTTATATTATAGTGTATACATATAGCATATTTTGTATGCTGATGTTAATTGACAATAATTTCTGTATTACAATGATAATCATCGATAAGAGTAAGAAAAAACAAGAAAAAAAAAAACAAGAGTAAGATATTGAAGATAAATATATAATACAACATTTTGGGGTAGGTAAGATTTAAAAAAAATGTTTTTGAAAGAAGTCTCTTCTGCTCACCAAGGCTGAAATTATGGCATCAAAAATACAGTAAAACCTGTAATATTGTGAAATATTTTTACAATTAATTTCCATCAGATCCATCAGAAATCATAATATGCTGATTTGATGCTCAAGAAACAATTATTATTATTATTATCAATGTTGAAAACAATTGTTCTACTTCATATGTTTGTGGAAATGGTGATACATTTTATCTGGCTTCTATAATGAATAGAAAGTTCAAGAAGAGCATTAATTTGAAACAAATCTTTTGTAACAAATGTCTTTACCGTCACATTTGATTAAAGCCCCCCATATATTGCATTTTGTTTTGGTGTAGAATATGACCTTGATGTGGTTATGAGAAATGTTCCCATTTCGACAGTAAACTGAATTATTCCTTGTGGCGAGTCTAACATGTATGGTTGACACATGTGACATCTTGTTGCAGTTTGTCAGCGGTGCTAAAGAAATCTGCTTCACGCTGTGGAGAGGAGGATACTGGGCCGATTTCATCAATCCATTGTCAGGGAAAGCTGTAAGTACCTTTATCTCTGTCGAAACAGATGCTTGGAACTCAGGGTACATTTACACGACAACGATGTCCTAAAAAACAGAACGTTTTTTCCTTTGCGTCTTTCGTGTACAGGCGACAACATTGTCACGGATGTTCACACGGATCCGCGCAAATGACTAAAATCGCTGTACTATTCATGCCAGGCCAGTGGATGGTGATGTCACTTTGTAAAGAAACACTACGCGCTTATAGACTGAACACGTAATGTGCATGACGTCACCGTTTTCATGAATTTGCGTTTTTGTAGTTAACATGGAGATAGCGGTATCGTTTTCGCTCCCAAAATGCCGTTGCCGTGTAAATGAACGGGCAAAACGCATAAAGTTTTACAGTGTTGTGTAAACAGGCCTTAAAGGGATACTCCACTGTGACTGCTGCGCTTGTTTAACTGAGGGAACGAGAGAGTGAAAGCACCGGTTGCGCGTGCCGTCTTCAAACTGTCTTGCTCGCGCTCTCTCTCTCTCCCTCGCGCATGTTTAAGAATTGAGTTGACTGAATATCTTTGAGAATACACGATGGTATTAGGTCGGAAGACCACATTTTTTTCTTTTCTTTCTGAACTATTGGTTGTGAATTGTGCTAAAATAACGTTGCCTTATCTTCTCTGAAAAGCTTTCCACGCATTCAGATCAGATGACATATAAACCACTCTTTCAATAAACCAACAAAATTCTATCTGGTGATGAAATGTTTTCTGTGTCGAGACCATAGACTGTAAAAAATAGGTCGAGACAAATCTCGTGCGATGTCCTAAACTGCCTGGATAATCACACAACGTGTGCCGTGGTCCGTTAATGACACGTCCGATTCGCGAACTAATGACTCATTTGAACCGATTCACTTTAATGAATGGTTAAAATAAATGATCTGTCCAACACTGAACTCAAGAGACATAAATTGGAAACACTTTACAATAAGGTTCCATTTATTAAAGTGTACATTTGTTAACATTCTATTAATTAGATTCTATGCGGATTTACTCCATGACAAAACCACCCCAGTCATTCTAGAATGATTCATTCTTTCCAAATAGAGCTATTCAAGTAATCTGGTGAAATTGTTTTTATAACACAATATATCGCAGAAAAATAAAATATCACAATGTCATTTTTTACCAATATCGGTATCGGCCATAACAGCAATATTAATATCGGTTATCGGTAACGGCCACAAATTTTCACATCGGTGCATCACTAGTTTGTGTACATTCATCTATAAGTTCAGAAAAGCATGTATTTTTCTTATTGCAGTTTTTTGGCGATCAGACGGCGGACTCGGTTCTCCAGCAGGATGTTCAGCGTCACGCTGGCTTTCACATCGAGGACCTGGCGTCTTGTACGGTCATACGTCACGTATCAAAGGAGACGCCCACTTTTGTGTTGACACTAATCACTAACGCGCCTTCCAACAGTCTGATCATGGAGAAACTTCTTCAAGGACACTCCAGCTCTTCAGAGGAAGCGGACTGATGGACGTTTTCTGCACAGTATTTCTACCCAAAAAATAGTAGTTTCTTAAAATGAAAGAGATTTTGAATACGAGATGTTACAAAAACCGTGCTGTTGTGAGCCGATTCAGAAAACACAGCAAAACTGCTAATTTATTTATAAAATATGAACAAAAAGTATTTTCTAATACACAGCAACACACTTAAATTCAGTTCTGAAACCACATGGTGCTTTACAACACATCAGCCTTTAGTCACGCCGCTGACTTGAGAGTGCGTACGGTCGGTAAAACATCATCTAGAGTCAAGACGTCTGAAACAGAGAGGAAACTGGAACTCAACTAGTGCCACAACACAATGTTAATGTCTGTCTGACGATGTTTTTTAGGAGAACCTGAGATCTGCGTTTTTAATGGTTGAAGTTCAGATACACTAGAATACAGATGTACTGTATGTACTTTTCATTTGAGTTTGACTGACTCTTGTTGAACATGAATAAAGTTTGGTCTCACCAAGAGTTTGCAGAAGTTCCAGTATAAATGAGTGGAAAACCGGAAAGAATTCCTCATGTTCCTTCAGCTTGACAATGATACTGTGAAAGACAAATGTCACTATGATGAAAACACCTGTTGTCTGTTGTTCACTTGCAGTTTCCAAATGAAGAAATGAGCCTTCCTGTATTTTGTGTAAATTGTTCCTGAAACATTCTCATGCAAATTGATATTAAATTGACCAAAACATTCAAACATTTTTAAGCAATCATGCTTTCTCAAATGAACTCAAATGCAAATTTAAGACCATTTTCATATTTAATTTAATAATTTTTATAAAACATTTTTACATAAAGGAAAGCAATAAATTGTCAATTTACGTGAAAGGTTGACAACACTATAATGTTCAATTCATTAATGTACTGGTTATCATAAAATAATGAGCTAAACTTACTTCATATCAATGTTCCCTCTAAGCTGCGCGCGTGCGCGGCCGCGCACTTCTGATGCCTCGGCCGCGCACTTCTGATGCCTCGGCCGCGCACTTCTGATGCCTCGGCCGCGCACTTCTGATGCCTTGGCCGCGCACTTCTGAAGCGGCGGCGCGCAGAAAAGAATAAAATGCCACGCAGATGACTGACGCGAAATGTGTGGGGAAATCCATTTGATTGTAGTTTAAGTGAGAAATAATTGCAGTGCTCTGGTCAACCGCTATAGAGTGAAAACTGGTGAATGCAGTTTACAGGTTTCATAGAAAGATGATGTGAGCGCGTGTGATTGGCAGTGAGTCGTGTGTGCGGACCAAATAGCTCAATACGAGAGGCAACGAGAAACTCATAGACGTGCAATAAAATCACATCATGATGTTTTAAAGAAGAGTGGTTTGATTAAAGTGGTGGAAATAACGGTTGATGAACACAGAACGTTAACACACCCACCCGCGTGCAAACTCAAAATACATTAGTTTAAATAGATGTTTTTGTGTGTGGGGGAGTTTCAGGGATGGTTAGATTATAAAAGAGTTCACATTCACTTTTCTTGAAAATATTTAGCTATTAGATCTATTTAAATGCTTCAGTTTGTTTTCATATTATAATAATATAATATGTAAACAAATTGAAGCATTTAAACTGATATATTATATCACTTCAAATACTTCAATTCGTTTTTTTATATTATATTATATTAGGCCTATATTTTATTATATTATAAGCCTAAATAAAGAATCTCACAAGGGTATTGTTTAGGGCTCCTTGCCATTAAAAGGTTTGAAACCCCCTGCTAAAGAAAATATTGGAAATTCATAAGCAATAAACAATCATTTAACTTTGATGATTTAATGCTTCCTGTACACAATTAATTCACTGTACAAAAACACTTTATGGTTTTCCCAAACCATCTCAGTGTAACAGCTTAATTTTCTTCCATACTATATTCTATTATTGTAAAGAATTGAACTGTCCTGCAGAAGATTTTGTAAATTATTTTTCATAGGATTTCTTGCTAAAGACTGTACAGTTAACAGCACTGTAAAAAACAAAAACAAATCAGGTAACCTAAAATGTGCTTCATTTAGTGACTTCTTAATTTGTTAAGAAGCTTGTTTTTCGAAAATATGATTTAATACCAATAAGTTACATCAAGGGTCAAATAACATAGAAATGGCACATTCAAGTTAAAAGTTACAACTGAATGTTGAAACCATTGTGTTTCTACGTATGCTGTACAGGTCAGGTATAAAGAATATTTTTGCTCAGGTGGCGAAAAATGTCCGCCCAATAGAAAAAAGTTTTGCTCAGCAAGAAAAAAAATTAGAGGGAACATTGCTTCATATACTTATTTAACGTTATAAATTATTGTATTATGGAAACAATATATTTATAAAAATAAATACTGTAAAAAGGTTTTCATTATTAGTTCACGATACCTAATGCATAAATGAATGTAAACAAATTTAAATATTATTCTTTAGATGGTTGATGCATGAAATTAAAGAGAAAATATATGCTTTAATATTTTTTTATAAACCATTCTAAAAATAAATAGAAACATTGAATGTCAGTTTGTACAAGAAGTTGCATAATGGATAAAAGCGTCTGCTTAATGTAATGTAAGAAGTTTGTAACACTTAACAAAGTTCAATTAGCAACAGTGAATGTATTATAAAATATTGAACAAATTTAGTTAATTACACTAAAAATGTTTTGTTCATTGTTAGTTCATGATACCTAATGCATTAACAAATGTAAACAAATAGAATATTTGTTGATGAATGGAATTAAATGCGAAAATTTATATTTAATCATTATATATATATATATATATATATATATATATATATATATATATATATATATAAAAACCATTCTTGCAGAAATTGAAACATTGCATTGAATCAATTTGCATAAGCTGAAAATCATTAATTTAATTAATTTCGTTAATTACTACAAAAATAAATGTTAATTACTTGATATAGATTTTTAACATTGCACATTTTATGAAGTAACGGTATTATAACTTATGATTTAACATTATAGACAACAGTATATTTATGCATTTACTAACTTAGATGAGAGTGAATGCTGTTAAAAGGTCACCTAATGCATAAACTAATATTAACAAAATAAACTTTTTATTCTTATGAATTTTCACGTTTAATTCCATGCATAAACTATATTTATTTTTTTAAGAAGCAATTTTACATAAATTAAAGCATTGAATAGAATGTCAATTTAGTTACTACTTTAAGTTTGATGAACAACATTTATCAATCGGGTTGATGTTTTGAACATTTCAAGTTGTATAAATTAAAAAGTAGAGTTGATAAATGACGGGAAAACGCTGTTTAGTTAGTTCATGCATTAGCTTATGCTAACAATCATAAAGTGTTGCCTGCCGCATAGTTTTACACACATTTGTTCTGCATTGAGCACAATCAAAAATTCAAACAAAACATGGACATACCTGTCAATGTCGCTGCTTTCCAGAAGGCTGTGGAGCTCCTGACTTGCGACGTTTCCTGACTGGGACACAATTGCGGCTACTTTGTTGACAACCTCGCTAGGGGGCGCTCTGTCATCTATCACAAGATATGACAACATTAATTCAGAGAGGATGAGGAAGCTCACACGTGTCATGTAGATATGCTCAGACATCTCAATACCCAATTCCAGAACATCTCTGAGGTTCCTCATGGCGTTGTTCATCTCGCCCAGCTTGGTGTAGACCTCATTCATGCGAGGATAGATTCCTGTCAGCGACGGGGCGTCGAAGAGTTTCTGGAAGTGGGCGACCATGGACTCCAGGGTGTGTCTGGTGGGACTCCGCAGAACCTGAGGAACGGCGAGAATAGCATCAGCTGATGGATTATTAAGAACGCTAAGGGGAGAGTTGAGTTTAGGAGAAGAACCTTGTCTTCTGATGCCGTCTCATCGAGAAGCGTGTCGACGATAAGCATCAAGTCTTCCACCCGGACAGAATCTGAAGATGTGGTAATGCTGCTCTCGGGCTGCCATGGCAACAATCTCTTCTCCAGTCTGATGAGGGCACGATGAAGATCCTAGAAAACCAAAGCAATCACATTCAAACCCAATGATTTCCTTCTGCAGTTAAGGTGAGGTCACATTAGCAATATTTCAGTGTGAGCGGTGCTTCATACATCGCTACACCGTTGACAGTCAACAATGCACCTTTTTTTAGGGATGCACAAATATAAAGATTTTGCCCGATACAGATAACCGATAATCATTTATATTTAAAAGCCGATAACCGATATATTGGCCGATAAATCTAAATCCAAATTTTTATATAATTTTGAGAGCTTGATTACAAAAACAAAAGTCTCACCATTAAATGTCATGTCCCAAGCACAAAGTTATAATGTTCTCATTATAATTGTATGCAGCCTATATGACTTTGTTGCACTTTGTATTTTCCTTGTTTAAAGGGATACTCCACTTTTTTTGGAAATAGGCTCATTTTACAACTCCCCCAGAGTTAAACTGTTGAGTTTTACCGTTTTTGAATCCATTCAGCCGATCTCCGGTTCTGGCGGTACCACTTTTAGCATAGCTTAGCATACATCATTGAAGTGGACAAGACCATTAGCATTTCTATAAAAAAAATGACCAAAGAGTTGATATTTTTCCTATTTAAAACTTGACTCTTCTGTAGTTACATCGTGCACTAAGATCGACGGAAAATGTAAAGTTGCGATTTTCTAGGCTGATATGGCTAGGAACTATACTCTCATTCCTGCGTAATAATCAAGAAACTTTACTGCCGTACCATGAGAGCAGCAGACGTAATGATATGACGCAGCGCCTAAAAATAGGCCACCTTCCGTCAACACAACAGAACTATTTTCAGGCGCTGCGTCATATCATTGCGCCTGCTGCTCTCATGGTACGGCAGTAAAGTTTCTTGATTATTACGCAGTTTTAAACTCTTTGGTAATTTTTTTTGATAGAAATGCTAATGATCTTGTCCACTTCAATGATGTATGCTAAGCTATGCTAAAAGTGGTACCGCCAGAACCGGAGATCGGCTGAATGGATTAAAAAATGGTAAAACTCAACAGTTTTACTCTCAGGGAGTTGTAAAATGAGCCTATTTTAAAAAAAGTGGAGTATCCCTTTAAGAGATCATATTTCAAGCAATTCAAAACCATCATGTGAACAGTGCACATCTTAAGTGTCTCAGCTGAAGGAAATAATAATAAACTGAAATGACTAGATTTTGCATGTGAAGAGTCGTCCAACGGTAAATTTGACCACACTTTTAGTTGAATAAAAATTTCGGCAAAGTTTTGTGGCCACAATATATACTGTCAATAGTGTAGCGATGTATGAAGTCACTTTCAAACCAAGTAGCTTTTCTGTCGGGGTGATTCCACGTAAATCTTTTCCCAATTTCTCAAAAAGTTCCCAATCGTATAGATTCCTATTGAAATCAATGAATATTTGCCAGTGAAAATTTGTAGAACAACGGTAATTCCCACCACACCATTAATTACATTTCTGGATTT